TCGTCCACGGATCCAACCTTCTCCGTGCAGCCCCCGAACACGTCCGACGGACCTTCGAGGACAAGACCATCCCCGACACCGAGCCACGGAAGATCCTCCAGGACCTCCGGAATCGAGGAACCACCACCTACGTCGACCTCTTCCGATCCAACAAGCGCAAAATCGACGATGTGGTTTCCGATGATGAGGATGTGGACCCAGATCCAAAGCGACCATCCCCGGACCACGAACCTCTGGTCGATTACTGGGAGCCTGCCCCCGACGGACTGCCGAGTCCATCAGTTCCCACGACAACAGCTCTTCTGCCCATCACCGGACGACCCTGACATTCCATACCACCGACTCGGAAGCCTCCGGCACACCGAGATCTACCGCCTGGCATCGGACACAGGCCTACCTGCCCCCGATGCAGAACACCGCAACGATGATTGGCACCAACCTTTCGACTCGCACTTCGACATCCAACACCCATGGATCGGTCGCACTCGCTTTGTTGTGGTCAACAACGAGGGCGATGTGACCATGGGCAACTCACAAGCTCCACCAGCACCCACCATGACCGAACCTACGCTTGAACCGACGGCTGAGCCCAGCTCAACCTCTGGATCGCGAGGAACAGACGGCCACAACCCTGCCGAACCATCGGCAGAACCCGAACCAGCTTCATCTCCACCACATGGACCTCAAGCCTCGACAACAACTACCTCTACTGACTTCGACCTCTACAAAAAGACCGAGCGTGAATCCTTCCACGAACAGCGGCGACGGGTAGACCGACAGGAAACGATCTCCTACGGCCCCAGCCATCGTCGCGGCCAACGACCTGGACCATACGAACAACAACCACCCGACGAGACAGCGGACTACGCCTTCAAGGTCGACATCGTCGACGACACCAGCGAAAACAACATGCCTCTCCCACCAGGATGGCACGCTGATGCCTCAGGCCATGTTGTGCTGGACACCATCCACGACGACTGGACCCTCTCCAAAAATGGCAACTACCTCATCCGCAACCACTACATCCCCCGGAACACGCTCTACGACCCAAGCGAGGACGGGAATTGTCCCATTCCCCTACCCATGCTCCACAAGTCCCGAACAACTCGTTTCGCAGACGGCCAATCGCGACAAGATCGTTGGCGCTGCCGCTCCAACCACCTTGACGAGCAAATCTACTGGACAGGACGCACTTCCTTCAAGATCCAACCGCGAGACCGAGTACGGGCCCATGAGCACTTCCTCAATACGTCAGAAGGTCACCAGACCTATGCCGGCTCTCCACAACAGCGGAAGAAGGATTCCAAGAACCTCTCCGAGCGCACCATGAGCCTCGCAGATCAGCAGAGCTTCATCGAGGCCAAGCGCAAGGAGCTCGCCAGCTTCTTCCAGAACCAGGTGTGGGAGTTCTCAGATGAGTCAGAAGCTCCGGCACAGCGCATCCTGCGCGCGCACTTCATCCTGAAGTGGAGCAAGAACGAGGACGGCAGTCCACGTGCCAAGGCCCGGCTCATCACGCAGGGTTTCAAGGACCCTGACGCCCTCAGCGGGATCGTTGAGCGCACCTCGCCCACCGTGACGAGGCTCACGCGCGGCATGATCCTCTCCATCGCGGCCAACAACGGATGGGGCACCTTCACGGCGGATATCTCCACCGCATTTCTCCAAGGACGCGAACATGCTCCACACCGCACCCTGTGGATTCGACTCCCGGCTGACGCACGGAAAACATGCTCCACACCGCACCCTGTGGATTCGACTCCCGGCTGACGCACGGAACATTCTTGGCATCACCAACTCGCGAATCCTCATGCGGCTCCGGAAGCCCATGTACGGCCTGGTTGATGCCCCTCGAGCCTGGTATCAAGAAGCCAGCGAACGACTCGCGAAGGTCGGACTCGTCATGCACCGGCTTGACAGCTGTGCCTTCGCCCTCTACGACGACTACAACCCTGAGACCTCAACTCCACCTCCACTCCTGGCCATCATCGGTCTCCATGTTGATGACCTACTTGGCACCGCCGACAAGAGCCATCCCAAGGTCACGAAATTGATCGAGGACCTCAAGAACACCTTCACCTTCAGGGAATGGAAAGAAGGTCCAAGCCTTGAATACTGCGGCGCCACCCTGGAGGCCACCGACGGCGGCTGGAAATGCGGCGCCACCCTGGAGGCCACCGACGGCGGCTGGAAACTACATCACAAAGAATACCTCAAGAAGGTCAAGCCCATCACCGTCGGCAAGGACCGCCAACCACATCAGCAAGTGACGGACAAGGAGAGGAACCTTCTCCGATCCCTCCTTGGAGCCCTGCAATGGCCAGCAGTGCAAAGTTCACCACATCTACAAATCCACACCTCAATGTTCTCCGGCGAGATCACCACTGCCACCATTGAGACCATCCACAACACCAACAAGGCCCTCCGGTACGCGAAGAGCAATGACGACGTTGGCCTCACCTATCGGCCCATCGCCCCCATTGCAGACTGTTGCCTGGTGGCATGGTCTGATGCAGCCTTTGCATCTAGAAAAGATCACAGCTCGCAGGGAGGCTTCATCGTCGCCCTGATGCACAAGGACGCCATCGAGAAGGGCTTCGAGAGCGAGTACCACATTTTGGACTGGCGCTCATTTCGGTTGCCACGGGTTGCTCGCTCAACCTTGGCCGCCGAGAGCCAAGCTGCAGCTGAAGCGGCAGATGCCCTCACCTTTGCGGCGAGGTACATCTCTCTGCTCATGAACCCCAACCTCAAGCTCGACGACCCCATGCTCGGCGTCATGAACACCCCTGCCACCTTGGTGGTTGACGCCAAGGCACTATATGACCTCCTCGAGAAGCGGGAAGTTCAGGCATCCCTGGGCAGTGACAAGCGCACCGCCATCGAAGTCATCGTCACCAAGGAGAAGCTTGCGGAGATCAACGGCAAGAGCCGCTGGGTCTCTTCGGAACGCCAAATGGCTGACGGACTCACCAAGGTGTCCGCCGCCCAGCTCCTGGCGGACCGGCTTCGACTCCACCGGACACGACTGGTAGATGACAGCACCTACCAGGCCGCTCGAAAGAAAACCCCTCAGGAACGAAAAGACAGCACCTACCAGTACGCGATTTCCCGGCCTGCACGGCAACACACCACCTCGACGGCATTCTGGGTAGCAACGATGTTCACGCTTCCCACCATGGCCACAGCCCACTCCGAGGAGCAGCTCTACGGCAGTGACTATGTGCTGCTGTTCCTGCCCCTGATGATCCTCTTGATCGGCATCCTGATGTGCGGCTTTGTCATGACAAGCCATCTTCGCACGCATGGACTCACTGAAGCACAACGCTTCCAAGAGCGCATCCATCAGCTCGAGAACGACCTCTCCGACGAGAAGGCCTATGTCAAGTCCACGGAGGAGGCCCTCATCGAGGCGCAGGACGAGCTCAAGGCCATGCACGAGTCAGCGAACATCGCTGCTGGGGAAATCATGCGGCTACGCCAGGAAAACCGGCAACAGCACCGCGACCTGCGAATGACAGAAGGCGTGCTTCGGGACGCCACCACCTCGGCGATCTACCTCTGCCGGAGTGGAATTGTCTACCACCGCCTCCGAGAATGTGCTGAGCAGCGATCGCGGGAAATGATCACTACGCGGCGCCCCTGCAGAGTGTGTGTGCACCCGAGCGACTCCATTCGGGCACCAGCATCCGGCAGCGGCACGCGCTAAAACATGGAGGGCGTCCACAACCGGGACACCGTGACCTGAGCCTGGCACCGACCCTGGGACTGGCAGTTTTGTTTTTTGCCTCTCCCACCAGTGTGAAGATTTCGTCCCGAAACTTGCGTTGACATGAGTTTGTAACCACCCGGCCTTTCGGCCCAATTCGCCACCTGCCCAAAGGGCGGGACTTTCTTCTGAAACCTCGGCCGCGGCCTCGCCATCATGGCATGCGCAGCCTGAGCCACCTAGAGCCAGGCCAGTGGAAAACATCAGCCCGTTGACTTCGTGCGCAGCGGGGCGGAAGACCAACATCTTCAAGAAACGTTTTTGTTGTTCTTTTTTTTTCCGGGCCATCTACTCAGGAAGTGCGGTCAACATTTCGGCCAAAGACCCCTTTTCTTCTCAACTTGGGCTATTAAGCTGCACTGACACAGGTACCGATCAGGGTCTGTGGCAAGGCAGCGCCGTTCCACCCTGTGAGCACGCAAAAACCTTGGGAAGGTATGGTTTGCTGGAAACCGAGCTTTCGAACTTTTGCACGGCTTTTGGGGGGTCGTCAGGCCCAACATAAAGATATGAACCAAGACAGAACATACAATACAAGGGCCCCTCAACAGCACATTGGTTGATTTCCTTGAATTGTTGTTTGGTTTCCTTGGTGTCCTTTTGAACCCTCCAGCTAAAAGGAAGTCCCTGTATGTTCAGGTTGGTTCTGTATGGCTGGTTGAATTCGGCTGCTCCTTTCGGACATCTCGTCTTGGGAGTTTGTTGTCGTGAAGGCCGTTTCAAGCAATAGCCTTTGTGCTCACAATTCTCACACCGCTCGAGACCAATCGTGACCAATCATGACCAATCATGTCACGTGTTTGCGGTTGTTTGCGGGCCGGTCGTGGGGAAGCGGGATGAAAGTCGAGATGAAAGTCGAACTGGGTGAAGATTTCCCCATCCACAAACATGGAACCTCACGCAGGGGGTCCTGGAAGGCCATTTAGCGGACAGGAGGGCATATACTTTTTCACCCAGCGAAACCGGGTGCGGCCTGTTTGGTGCGCCGTTTTGGGGGGGTCCGCCTCGGGGCGGGCAGTAGAAAAGGCACGCCCAGGTCCCCGCCCAACACACCTGGGTCCAGTGCCCTTTCTCACCCAACTTTTTTGGTTGGGAGGGTTCCCCTACTAAAATAGACAAAACTGAAAAAAGTTGGTACCAACTTATTCTAACCTCTCAAACCTGGAGGACCTAGCCGCAGTATCTCCAACCTCTGCACCCCAACCCCCCCAAACCCAGCCACAAGCCACAGGCTCGGCAGACTGCACGGTGCGCATCTGGGAGTGCTCCCACGCGCGCCAGATGAAGGCCACTGGGGGGGCCGAATGGCCGGGAACGGCCGGGAACGGCCTTGGCCCTTGGATTGGAACATGTTCAAAGAAAAACTGATGGACGTGAATCCCCACCCAAATGTCTGCCAAAGGAGTCCCCAATGAAGATTGCAGCCAAAGATTGCCCCTCACGAACATGGCACCTCACAGGCAAACTGGGCAGCTCTGAGACGAAGCTTTGTCTTCCAGGTACCCTCCCACAGGTGCCAAGGGTAGTGTTTGAGCAATCATTTACGTCAAAGAGGCCATGGTCAAAATCATTGGATCTTGGAGAGAGGTGCTCAGAGGAATCCCCCAACTTCCCACAAACATAGGCTTTGGGCCAAAAACAACGGCGAGCGAAGTTGACACTATCCGACAACAACCGAAATCGGTCTGCGAAACTTCCAGACGCGTTGTTCGTGCTCCAAGCCTGGCACTGGCATCAATTCCGATCCAGCCGAAGCTGGTCGAGCTGTTCCCCATACCGGGGAAATTGAGGGACAAGGCAAACACTTCTCGAGCTGATGGTTTTTGTTCTACTGCTTTGGTCTGACAGGTTTTCGTGTTAAATCCTTTGCTTCGAGGCTCTTTGGACAGAGCACTTCTCTGTTAGGAAGATGGTAACTGATACAGGGCTCCTTCAAAGATACATTTTGCCCATTTGAACCGTGGCTTTTTCCACCAAAATAAGGGGACACCACCATTTACAGGGCAATGTTCAGGTGTATAATGTAAGGATCCCTGTGACAAAGACAAGTATTCTCTGTGGCACTAGAAATGAACGGAGCATTTGTGCGGCGCCGGGACCAATGAGAGGTGATGCGAGCGACCATTCCTTCCCATCTTTCGGTGCTCAAACTTTGAACATAACAAACACTGGCTGACGTGTGGTGTTCATGTTTTTTTCGCACCTGGGTGCTTTCGTGGCGTCCTTCTTTCCCTTCTCTAAAACTCGCGCTTTTGGTTTGGGCCAACTCAGGTCTGGCAAATTCTCTGCGTTTGGGAAGCCAAATGAACCGAGTTGGAAGCCGATTGAGGGGGCAAAGAGAAAGTCCGACCAGGTTTCCAATTGGCTGGTCAAAACCGTTTTGGGATCCCATTTTGGCTGGTAGGTGAATTCACCACCCATTTTAGATAACCAATTTTAGTGGTTGGATTGAATCGGATGTTCACTGGAAGGTTACGATTTGGCGTTTGACCCATGGCCAACTGACCCAACCGCGTCGAAAATTCGTACTCCGCTCAGTGCGTGCGCTTCCACGAGGTTGCGGTGCAGGCCAGGTGTTATTTTTGTTTCCCCGGTACTTCAAACGTTTTTGTTGTTTCTATTTTTGTTTTGTTTTTGTTTCCCAGGTTCTATTTTTACTTTTGTTAGGAGGTGATGTTTCAAGAGGGAGACGGACACCGTCCACTTTGTGGGGTCCGCCCCATAGCCATACCGTGGATGGTTGCGAAATCCGTTTTGCACCGCGTTGAAACCATGGGAAACCAATTTGTTGGTATTTACAGGGGAATCCTCATTCCAGGGTTTCTTAGGTGGTGCAGGATTTCGTCCATCCACAGTATGATCACTTAAACATGTTGATTTGCTGTTTGGGGTTTCCAATGTCCTTTTGCAAGTGATTTCGCTTGGCTCGTTCGACCAAACCACACCGCAGATCAACATGAAACCCCAAAGAGCCATGCTTTTTTTGAGAAGCGTCCTTCCGTTGCAGAGACGTTTTGGTGAATTTCTGAGTCTCAGGTGTGGCCGGAGCGAGCCGAAAAAGCATACCCAAGTTTGGGGCAAGAAGGGTGGTCCTTTTTTTGGTTTCCCTGAAGTCCGAGAGGTTCTTTCGGCAAGCAACCTCACGAAATGAGGGTGGCTTTGTATTGGGAATCCCTTGTTGGTCTTTAAGTGATATCGAGCGGCATCCTTTATCATAGCTTGGAGTTCCCCCCCCCCATTTTCTGTTACGAGTACTGTACTCTGTGATCCAGTGCGGTTTGGACCTGCGGTCCACATGTTTCTGGCGCAACATGATTTTCCTGTTGGAGGTTCGTTCGAATGGTTGCGCTACCGGACCCAATTCCAGCTGCGGGCAGACTTGTTTACTTCCATTTGCTGAAGATTATGTTTGTATTTTCCATTTTTGGTTTTACAGGGAATCTATCACTACTGGAACAAATGTTTTTCCAGGGGACTTAACTGGAATTTTAAGGACTGGGAAAGACGAGGATGGCAAGATTCTCCACAGCAATCGCCCGGCGTTTTGCTTTTGCCCCTGGGCCCCTGACTTGTTTCACAAGAGGTGATGCTGAAATAGATCGAAAGTGGTGTGCTCAGGAAAGGTAGAATATGTTGTAAGCTCACCTTGAGCTCCCTTTCGATGACCCTTTCGGGCATAAGTTTCCCCAGCGTGCAGCTTCATATGGGTGTGTCTTTAAATAAGGGGGACCCCAACAAGCAAGTTTTATTTTATTTCTTTTTTTCTGGGGGGGGGGGGGTTGTTTGGTTTCCTTTTAAACCAACCCCCCCAAGAATGGTACTCTCAAAAACGACCAGCCCATGTGCCACCAACAAAAGAACAAAACAAATCCAGAGAGAATATTCTCGGAGTGCAAAGGGACTCATGGACAGCCACAGGTTTTCCATTCGGAAGAAGCTGATGTGTTGTGACCAAACGGTTTGGGCTAACAGGTTCAGGAGACAAGGCAGGTGCTTGGGTTGTGTTCTCTCCCGACTGCTTTGTTTCCTTGTTCTTTGAGAGATGTCGGCATATTATTTATGCGAGTTCCCTACAGCCATATGCCAAGATCTATCTGCACAACTCGCAACGGTCCCTGGGCAAAAGCGGGGAGAGGACCTATGAGGAATGAATACTTTGATTTGCAGTTTGCGAAGAGTAACTTGGCAAGATCTATTTTGTATCATCTGCTACGTACATCGCCATAGGGGGGCCGATTAAATTGATTCCTTTCCTCATGTTTGATGTCTTGCGGGTCCATTGGAGGGTGCTTTAGGTTTGTGTTGGCTGCGGGGTAGACCTTGACCAAAGATGGGGTTTGCTGGGCCCCATTCTTCTACCAGTGTCAATCTCTGACTTTGGTACCTGAAACAGTCAACATCATGACCCCGATAGTGGTTAGGTTTCTGCTGGATATCTTGGGTTTTTCCTTGTCCAGTGTCCTCAAAACACCCACCCCGACCATCATTTTTTCAGGCGATCCTGGTGGTGCCGGACACAGGCACCGTGGTGACGTGGGGACCCCGGATTCTGGTGATACGGTGGATGGATGAAAATCCAAACCGCACCACTTTGAAGCCATACTGTTGAAACCATGGTTTGTTGGTATTCACAGGGAATCGACTCATTCCAGGGAAGCGTCCATCCAGAGCAGTGGCATTGATCGTTTTTGCTTGGCAGTGGGAACAACATGAGCTTCGAGGCATTACAAACCATGCAGCTTGAACCAGGATAGGGAACCTGCTTTCAAAAACACCCACCTTTCTTGCGATGCGGCGATGCGCATGTCTAGATGTCTTTGGTGAATTCTAAAGAAGAGTTCTGATTTGCTCACCGACAAGGTCGCTGGGCGTGACCGAGGCAATTTTATTGGGATGTTCCGTTATGCGCAGCCTTTCATATCAGGGACAAATGATTGACTCCCTGCTGACTGGCAAGCCATTACACTCCCGCAAGTTAGCATTGGTTGCAACAGCTACACTGCTGCGATTTCACATTGGCCGTATTTTCCCTGTGGGGTGAATGTAAAAAGGACCACGTTCCTCTCCCAAGAGCAAACATGGATCATTTTTGGAGGAATGGGGGTATCTTTGGCTTGAGGTGCCCTTTCTGAGCTTGGTTTGCAGAACAGAAAAGGGGGGCACCGTTGGGGCTTTGGGGATTCTCGTCAGCCCGGCCCATGTTGAGCCCATTTTGAGGCCATGGGAGGGTTGAGCTCAGCCATCGGGTGGAGGTTCGAACCTCCCGCCCGAGGTGCGCCAACGATGGGCGGGTGGTCTTCTGGGACCCGCAGATTGGCCATGGCGAGGCCCGAACGTGACGCGAGGAAGACTGAGGTCCTGGAACAGGATTTTTCCTTTGAAAGGGCCATTCTGGTTCCATGTCAAAACCGGGTCTCAAGTAGGCGGGCCCGGGACACGTTGTGCCTCTTCATTCGTTGGTCTCCTATTTGTTCAGCCAAAAGCGAGCACCCTCCGAAAAACAGGGCACCATCTCTCCAATGAGGTTGGACAGGGGGTGTGATGACTGACATTTCTCCCATGACCCACTGTGGTTGTAGGGTCCAAGCCCGCGTTCGAATGATTTCAGCTGCATGCTTTCGAGCAACCTACCCGCCCCTCCTTTGATTTTTGAACTGGCCTAGAGGGTTCAAGGACTGGGGTCGACGTGCCAAGGGCAACCTTTTTCAGCCTGACGTGCTGGGGTGAAGCTCAGAGTTCCCCCGGACCAAAAGCCGCAACGACCAGGGTCGCTTTTGTCCAATGGATTCTTGGTGGAGTTCACTCTTTTTTTCCCCCCCAACAGCTGAAAGCTATGGTGTCTCTGCCCAAATGGGCCCTGGGGTGGTTTGGGGCAGCTTTCCGAGAGGGTTCCAGAGGGTTCCGGAATTCAGGAGGTTCGGGGCTGTTGGGGATACCACCTGGGCTTATTTTTCCACTAGCCAGTTTTGGGGCTGCTCTATTTTTTGACCCACACCCATTTTTGGACCCAGTTTTCCTGGCCAAGAGGCAAAGATCATTCGCAGCTACGAGCAGCCGGAGGAGTTCCGAACCCTCCACATGATGCGCGGGCCCCAGGTGGAATGATTTTTGGGCATCGCCCCAAAAAGCGCTCCAAATTTGGTGTTGTTTTTCGTGTTGGGCCAAAAGTGTTTTTTTCTTTTCTTTTTTTGTGGGGGGGGGGGGAAGAGGGCGGAAACAAACACTGGCGATAGGCGTTTGAACGAGTTTTGTTTCCGGGCCAAACACAACAAGTTCAACAGCCGGGTTGTTTTTTGAGAACTCCCAGCCCCTCCTGTTTTTGTTTGGAAATGGAGGGGTCTGTTTAAGCCGAAGCCTGCACCCGGGCCCCTGCCGTGTGAGGATGTACTGAATATTAAATGTATTTGGTAACGGATCTGTCGTTGAACTTCTTAGTTGAAACAGAGTGGATTTTCTGTATGAGACCCACAACAAGTGAATTCAGTTTTGCAGAGGGGTGGACCCTTACAGCAACCCCAGATCCCTGTTACCTATTGTAACGACGACAGGATATGCTCGTGATGTCAGGTGCGCCCTTCACCCCTTTGACCCGAAGTCTTCGCCGTTCCGATCCTCGGGCCGTGGCTGCCGTTCTCGGACTTCGGGTTAGAGAAACAAACGCATTGGCCGGTAGGTCCCGTGGAAAATTGGCCCCTTACCCACAAAATCCACCACTTAACCCTGAACCAGAGAGAAGCCGCCATGCGAGCACCTGAGGTACATGTCCCGACTACGTGGAAACTGGGTCTGGGTGATGGAACAATCGTCCACAACCCTAAACTAGGTCCCCCAGCAGGGCCCTTTTACCCTTTTTTTGGGGGAGGGTTCCCCTACTAAAATAGACTACAGAAAAGAGTTGGTACCAACTTATTCTAACCTCTCTACTGGAGGACCTAGCTAAAAATATTCTGCCCGAAAGAAAAATATTCATGGGGGTTCGGGAAGAGGGAGGGGAGGGGGAGGGAGCCCAAATACGCCCTTATTAAGCCCTTAATAAGGCCTTATTTTGGGCTCCCTCCCCCCTCTCCCCCAACCCCCATGACAAATGGCAACTGGATCCACTGGGTTAAGACACTTAAGACATCCGGACGGAGCACCACTTCCGTCCGCTGGGCTGCTCGAGGAGCCACATGCTCCTGGTGGGCTGCGAGCACATGCCTCGGAGTTTTGGTAAATCCTCACGGGGTGCCAAGGTATCCCTACTGGGGATGGACGAAATCCAGTTCGCAGCACCTAAGACGCTGTGCGTTGAAACCACTGTTTGTTGGATTTTACGAATCATTCCAGGGTATCTTAGGCTTAGGCGAAATGGATTTCGCCCCTCCACAGGAGGGACAAGTCTTCGCCTTGTACTCGAACTTTTCGACACATCCCGTTGGGTAGAAGCTTGGGCAACTGAAAGGGGAACGGTTCTGGTGGAAGCTTGGGTCTAGGAAGCCGGATTTTGGCTTGGTTCTAGATGAACCAAAGTTTGCGGACCTTGGCCCTGAAGGTGGGATGTCTTTTGGCTCACCGAGGCCCGCCGGTTTTCTTTCCTTGGATTAAACACCTGGGTGTTCCCTTGCGTAAGAAGTCCTCAAGTTTTTGTAAATTTGGCGTGTGTGTTTTCTTCGTGGCCTTCCCAGCCTTTGCATGGCTGCGTGAAATGAAGCCTCTCCGCATTCCCAGAAGCCGAGTTGGAAGCGGCTCCAGCCTTTAGTTCTGGGTACCTCTGGGACCCTCCCACATGGACCCCCCAAGGGGGTGGGGGGTGGGGGAGTGGTGGGGGGAATGGTGGGGACCCCAAGATCTTTGAGGCATGCAACTGCTGCGAGAGTGGTGCTGGCTGATCAAAAGGTCCTTTACCCGGGATTGCCACCAAATGGCAAACATTTTTTCATGGACATTTGGGGTCCAGGACTGATCAACCCCCATGTATTTCGTTTTGCGTACCCTGTTCCCTACCAAGGCCCTGCCAATCAACTTAATGTAATTGTAGCTTGTGCTGTCAGTGCCACTGCAACCCAACAGAATCTGCAGATGCAGGTTCTAGTCTGCCCAACGCGCCAAAACCTGCGCGCGCTTGCCTCGCGCGGAGTGAGGTCCGGGAAGATCGTGTCGTTCCCCCTGGAGCACAAGGCGGGGTCCGGCCGGACAGCCGCGATGGGCTGAAGGTCCCATGAAGTTTCAAAGGGAGCGGGGAAAAGCCCACAGACCGAGCTTCACTCGTCATAAACCCAGTTTTGGAAGCCATCCTAAGTCTTGGCCCGAAAGGGTGATCCTTTAGCTTCTGCTTGCCCAATGGGCAAGTGAGATTACCTGCGTAGATTCATCCAAGGTACGCGCCAATCCTCATGAACGCTTCCCTAATTTCGCTGAGATATCAAACTGCCTACCACAGGCGCCCTTTTTAGGTTAGTTATGTTGGAAATAGATCAGTTGCACTGGTTTAGATGGGTCTCATTCCATCTATTCTACGAAAAGGGCATCTGTGTTGCCTATGTTATGGCAAATCAGGTAGAACGCGGTCACCAAACCAGCCGTCCTTTCGAGAATCGATGGGTTCTCGGCAGAGGCAGAGGATTGCTTCCAGAACTCAGAAGCACCTGTGTGTCTTTTTGTAGGCCCCAAGACTGCACAGCTTTCCTTGTGGTTTCCCGTAAAAAAAGCAACAAACAAAGGGGGAGTACCAACTCCAACAAACCTCAAAGCAAGGCACGGCTTCTGTAGTGGTAGTCTGCACCAGGGTTGGAATCATATTAGTTCCCCCTTTCAGGCTCGGTCGACGTATCCAGTGGGGTTCATTTGGGAGGGACGTGGGGGACTCTCCGAGTCTACCTCAAAAAGCAAGGGACTCTCCAAATGCCACATTCCCAGTATGGGAACAGTAAAACTTGACCAGGGCACATGCATGTATGTATCTATCTCTGTATCTCTCTCTCTCTCTCTCTCTTTATATGTATATCATATGTATATATATATATATATATACACATATACTGATATGTCTATGCATATATATATATATATGCACATACATATCATACATATATATATATATGTATATGATATGTATGTGCATATTAACATAGCATACAGACAACACGTGGCCGCGGGGTACAGGGACCCATTGGCACACAACCTTCGGTCATGATCTTTGTTTGTGTGTTGGGTTTGATGCAAATGGCTAGCCAACCGCTTTTGGTGGTAAAGAGAAACCTGCAGATGGAACTCCAGCTGCGGGTCGTCTCAGGCTGGTCCTGAGGAGCCCTGGCCTTGGTCGCCCGCGCTCGGCGGCTGTTATTTTTTTGGTTTTCGGAGAAGACACGGGCGGGCTCGAGGGTGGTTTTCTTCCGGGCCCCACGAAGGTCCTTTGGGGGGCTTTCTGCACTGTTGGCAAGTTCTTATCGTTTTTTTCTCTTTCAATTTTTTCCCCCGATGTTTTGGTTCTGTTTATTCTTAGTAGGGGGCTGCTCAAGTTGGTGAATTATGGATATATAATGGGATGAACCTGCCCATAGTGTGAGGTGGGACTTACATGTTTGACCATTTGTCTTGGGCCAAGCCGTGCAAAAACCCACGAGGCCGTTTGTCGATTTCGGTGCTTCAAAATCCTCCTGGAGGGCTTTTGTTCACCTTCATGCTCCATGAACCAAACAAATATGCATGATGCAGTGGGTGTGGGTCAAAATTAAACCACCAGGGGACCACAGGTTTTGGTCCATGTTGCAACTTACCAGGCAACCCATTTTGGGGTTACCCTATTTTTGACCAGCCAAATATGCATGACCCGCAGCTTCTTTACTCAACGGCATCTGCCACTTGCAGATCCAAGTTCTCTTCCTGTGATCAGCGCTATGCTGCGGGTGGCCTGCCTGACGCGTTTTGTTTCAGTATTTCTCGTTTTTCTGGCGATGAAAATAGAACCGCAATCATAGCCTAGGTCCCCCAGCTAGGTGCCCTTTTACCTTTTTTTTGGGGGAGGGTTCCCCTACTAAAATAGACAACAGAAAAAAAATGGTACCCTTATTCTAACCGCTCTAATGGAGGACGTAGTAGCTTCATGTTAGTTTTCAGAGTATTCAAACTGAAGAAGCCCGAAAGCCTTGGACCAAAACTCCCATTGTTCCCATGGAACCCCTTGGCTGAAAGGTTTGAGGTTTCAATGCGCGGCCAGTGAACATGGGACATCAGGGTGCTTCGTGCTTTTCTTTGTTCTTTTTTCTTTCCACCTTTTGCTTGGGTCCTTGACGGGTAAGATGGTAAGACATCCTCTTAGGTGGATGTGAGAATGCACAGGCGTTCTTATTTTTAACGCTCGGCGATTCGGGGGTTGGGGATTTGAACCTGCTGCAAGTGGCAAGGCATGTTGTAGCCCAGTTGTTCAGTAGCGCCCTTCAACCCCCTTTTTGTTTGGTGGTCCAGCACCAAAGAGGGCTCTTCTACCAGGTTCGGGGAACCCTCTTTTGCCCGACCTTTGTCCGAGCCGTTTGGTCTTGCTTGGAAAGGAAGCTGTTGTGATTTTGTGGGTCTTGTTACACGTGTGGCCCCAGATGGGGTTGCCTTTGTTCAAACGAGACCTTGGCGTTCGAAGGAGTTTCAGAAGGACACAGAAGGGTCACAAGATCGCGAGTTTGCCTTCAGGAATCCAAGAGATAGAGATCTCCCCAACTCCAGCTTTTTCCGTTTGAAGACGCGAGGGTTGGACAAAGCAATTCACTATGCACACATACATAATATATATATATATACATATGTTTATTTATGGCTTCAACAACCTGTACATGCCTGTAACTGTTTGGGGTAGCGTTTCAAAAACACGCCCGGTTTTTGCCCCGATGCTGAAAACATCATGTCCTCTGAGATCAACTTTGTTTTTGTCGAAGGCTGAGGATCCCCGCGAAACGCCGGAAAAGAAGGGATGCTGGAGGGCGGGCCTTTGCGTTCCTAGAGCCTTTTTTTGTCGCGTCTTCAGTCGGCAATCAGGTGTTGATGGCGTTTTAAATTTTGCAATGTTGTGGATCGACATCATGTAGAAACCAGTAGTTTTTATCCGTACCCGATATAATCCTCGTGTTCTAAGGCATTCACAGTCCAACCCGTTCATGTCATCGTTGTCAAAGAATGTACTTTTTGGTATGACAAAATCCAGAATCCATGGGTTCTTGAAGCTGGCACCCACGCACTCCAAACGGGCCTCGTGGACCGCTTTTCGGAGGCAAGTTTTGCACGGCCTGTTGGACCCGAAAAGGCAATTTGGAAGCACACCAAGCTGTGTTCTTTGACGAGCCCCGCGAACAACTCAGTCTTCTTAGTCACCTGTTCGTCACCTGTTCGTAATGCGGGGCCTCCCAAAGTGGTGACCCGCCTTTAGAAAAAATAATCTATTATATTTGTATATATATATATATCTTTCTTCCTTTTTTTTCGCCAGGCAGCCGTGGTGTTGGCGGCGGCGACTTTTGCCTCCGCCGATCTTGAAGGACGGGGAGAGTGAAGACTGGGAAGTTTGCGCGGGAAGTTGGACGTGAAGGGCTGGCGGATGCGTTCTTGGGGGTGGGAGGGGGGGGGGTTGGGTTCTCAAAACCACTTTTGGCGGTGGTTTCCCTTTAAACCAGCATTTTGAGAGCAATTGTGAGGATGTGGAATGAAACCAGCGGGGAATTTGAAATCAGGAAGCTGGTCAGCGTGCCATGCTTTACCTTTTGATGGGTCTAATAAAACGAGTGCCCTCTTCGAAATGGGAGGGGTTTTGACTGCTGGTTGATTATGGACTTACATTTCCGTGAAGACTATGACACGGATTCTGAATCCGAGCCCCGAAAATTCCGCCGCTTTGAGGTCGGGCAGAGTTGCGGGCGCAGCCTCCAAACTCGGAAGGCCAGACGTTTTGAACTCCCCATACAACCTCGCAAAGACATGGCGAAGCGTCCAAGTGTTCAGAATTCCAACTTCACAGTTGGCAAGTGTTTTCAGTTTAGGTTTGTCAGGTTGGTTGTTTTAAACTTTTGTTCGCTCTTATCATTTTTTGATGCTGCAAAAAACGGCGGTCCGTTTTTGCAAGCCCCAGGTTTGACACATTCCACCTTCCAGTTTGTGCACCAAGCTGACAACTCGGCCAAAATCGTCCATGGAAGGCTTCCATATGCCTAAGGGTGCTTTTGGGTGTTTTGCACTGCCAAAAACCCCACCCCCATGAGGGAACCCGCTTCTGGATTTTTAACCCCTGTCGGTGTTAAAGGGAATCACTCAGCAAATGGCGGACAGAGGGCGCAAACCGCACGGGTCACATGGAGGGGGGGGGGGCGAAAGCTTTCGCCCCAGGAGATTTGGTGGACGATGCGTGCGAGGCCCGCGCCGACGAGGTACCTGGTGGTCCCCTACAAATTGGCGGACGGAGCCCTACTAGAGGGGTCCCCAAGAGGATTTTGTCCTTTAGAAATGGTGGCTGTTGCCGCCGACAAGGTGGCCAGGTCAGATGTTCCCCCCCCCCAAATAAATGGTTTGACCAAGACACTGGATTCCTTTGTCAAGGAAGCTTCCAACACCTTGTGCGCATGCCCCAAGTCTCCAATGAGGATTCCTTTAGGGTCTGTGGAATTCAGAAACTGGGGTTCATTATTCCCATTGCCCTCCCACCAATTCACATGGAACCTACCAAGGGGGGCCTTGGTTTGGACCATTTTCCCTTTAAAGGGACCGGGTCCCGGTCAGGTTCTGAGTTAAATTGGTGGTAGGGTACTGATCATCTTGGGAGGCGTCACTCCCCACTCCCCGGCGGCGCGCGGCGCCCGCGGTTCGGATGTGTCAAACCAAACTGCAGGCTGAGGGCTGCGAGCTGTCACTGCGGCAGCTGCGGGCGAGGCGGTTGCTTGGGGATAACTTGTTGTAAGAAGTTTCATCCCCAAAGGCGTTCCTTTGGTGGTTGGTGCACGATTTCCAAGCAACTGGGGTCTTTTTACTGGTTTTGAAGCCATCCTAGGGGGTTCCGATTTTGAGACAGACCAGTTCTTCAGTGGCACCATTCAGCCCCTTTTTTGGTGGGTTTCCACTAAACATGGACCTCAAAAGGGGGGCCTGTCCTCAAGCCGGAATCACTGGGCAAATGGGGTAAGATGCTCCGAGAACCCCAAAAGTGGGGTTTAGGTCGGCCGCGGGGCCCAAATTCAATGGCCATGGATATGTGTGACATGGGTCTTTGTAGACGCCCTCGGCAGCCTACTTTAGTCAAACCCTACCCAACCTGTGGGCAATGTAGGAGGCACACGGTCTTGAAGCCTCGCCTCCGATTTCCAGGTTTGCATCCGAAAGAATCGCAAAACCTCAGAAAGGCCTTTTTTGAGGCACACCTTCCAATGGAGATCCCAACCTCACGCCTCCGTTTTGAGAGGGTGCTTCAATGACATCCATCGAAAACAGAGACCACAGGCGAGCCTGAGCACCCAACCAGGGCTGTTTAATGGGGGTTTTCTTCTGCGAAAGGGAAGCCAAAGAACATTTGCCATTCATTCGCATTGTTAAGGTGCTTCCAACAAGGCAACATGACTTTGGGAAGCCTAGGATCCCAGCGAACAACATGGCCCGGCCGAGCATCCATATATGCTCACCGAGAAAAACAAAAAACAAGAAAAAACAAAACATTTTGACTTTTTGGTTTTCCCATGTTGGGAACCATTTTGAGTCATGGCCTCAAAAGGTGATCACCTTCTACGTTTGCCCAGGGCAACTGAACGTGGAGATCTGGTCGGATGCTGAACAATGTCCCTACAAACTGGTCGGCGATTTGGAAACGGATCGATCTTTGCACTTTCACTTTTTTGTTGAAGGACCCAGATGCTTCGTCCAACGGGTCACTGGATGTTGCTAGCTTCTTCTTAGACCATGGAGAGGGCACGGTGCTCGAAAGCCGCAGAGCCCATGACTCTTGGGGATTCTCTTCCCAGGGCCGCTGTCGCCAAATCAAGTCTTGAACAACTAAAGTGGACATGTTGTTGGCCAGAACAAAGCTCCGGGTCTGTTTCCGGAGGACCCTTTTTCTGCGATAGAAGGTTTGGTGGCCTTTTTTTCTGGTTTTTTCCGGGCCATTTTCAGGCAGTGAGCCTATGGTTTTCGAAGTTTCTTTGGGAGCGACCCCCCCCCCGCCGTGGGAGGCGCTCCGATGCGTCTTCCGGGCCCTGGGGCATCACGGGCTCGGCGCTTCGGATGGGCTAGGTCCCAGGTGCCGTTTCTTTTACCGCTTCTGTTTTGGGGGAGGGTGCCCCTAGACAGCCAAAAGGGGAACCCAAATATTCTAAGCTCTCTGGAGGAACTAGGGCTTTGTAAATCGGGGAACCTCATGCGATGGTTGTCCCGCAGTTCCCTTCACCACCCCGGTTGACCCGCAAAAAGAAGAGCCACACACATGGGGTCATCCATGTCCCCCCCCCTAAAATAAATAGATAAATGAATAAAAAAGCAGGGGGCCCTGAGTCACGAGCCCATGCAGCTTCGCATTTCGAACTTGCAATCTGGCGACAAGCTGGTGAAACATTGTTGCATACTCCCTTCTATGGGGGTTTGCTTTCTCACTCAGGCTGAATATGTTTTTTTGTTTTCCCCTATGGCGGTGACTTGCGTTCCATGGTGTTTTGCAACTTGACGAATTTGCTTGCAACGTGCTTTCACTGAAATGATGCTGCGCTCCATGCAGTCGCAATTTTTGGCGGTGACTTCTTGACTTCGTGGATGGACATTCCATGCGGGGTAGCCTTGCCACACATAATTGGCGTTGAATATGAATGCTCCGGGGTGAGCGGTTTTCGCAGTGCCCTTGGTGAGAGGGGGATGATTCCAGCTGTTTGGTGAGAAGCTTTTTCGCGCCATCCAGTTTCGGGCCCCAACCTGGAGCCCTTGTCTTCGGGTATCTTGGCTTTTGATGGACTCAAAGAGCCTGCGGAAGCTGTTTTTCCTGGTGTCCCTTGCATGCCTTGAGCGTATGATTCTTGCCCTCAGCTTGGAACCCACTTACTTTTTTGGGTTCGCGAGCTTGGCTTGGCGAAGTCCGGTGGATTGTGCTCGGCATTTGGACACCCAACAAATCCAGGTGTATATATATATACAATATATTTGGGCGTGTCTTTTTTATGGGACCCTCCAAAACAAGTGTTTTCCTCTTGATTTCCTGTTGACACCAGAAACACGGCGTGCCCATCTGTGAATGTCTATTTCTCGCCGCTTGTCGGCGAGAAAAAAGACCGCGGGAACCCGTGGAGCCGCTTCCCAAGGAGCGCTGCTGTCTCTGCAGCTCGGGGCTGGCGACCTGGTCGAAGGATGGCCAGTGCGGTCAGTGCCATGACGAGGCAACGCCGCGCGGGAAGCCGTCAAGCAGCCCTCGGGCAGTTCGGGGCTGATTGTTGACCCCAGGTTTCTCCATTTAGCTTCCATTTTGTTGACCCGCCAAAAAGACGAGCCACCCAACTGGATTCACAAAAAGAGTTGGAGCACTCCTTAATTCCATATATTGTTTTACTTCCCCTTGTTGGTTTTGAAGGGAATTTATCACTACTGAATTTTCTCTCTTGTGCAGGGGGCTTGAGCAAAAAGATAATCAACCCCTGCTCATCTTGCTGGTGCGATTAGTAGGGAATGGGGGATGAACCGGCTTTGGGGATTTCCGAATCAAGGAAACCACCAGTGGGATGGCTTGTAAGAGTTATTCCCTCATTCCCTGCCGAGCACCAGCAAGATATTCGTATGGGGGTGGGGGCCAGCTCCTAAACCCGGAAGCACCCCCTATTGAGAAACCGGGGTTGATGAATTCGGGGTCAACATTATGGTTCTGGGAGAGATTTGGAGGTTGACAACTTTTCCTTTCAATGGGTCTGTCTTTTTTTGAGTTGGTATCCGATATTTTTGGTGGTTTTAAAGGGACACTTCAAAAAACACACACCGAATGCCCCTTCTGGGGGCTTTCCGCTTTCTGAAAGAGACACCCACGATGGGAGGATGCCCGGTACTGGCGCAAAGCTGATAACATGGAGCCGCAGGGTCCATCTACTTAAACTCCCCGGAGTTTGCAGGTCCCTGCGATTCTTTGAGGGACCTGCAAAACAATAAGCCCTGGTAGTATCCCCAGCAGCGGTAGCCCCTGGAACCCTGTGGAACCCTCCCTGAAAGCTGCCCAAACCACGCCAGAGCGTATTTGGGCCTATCGACCACATAGCATTCAGCTGTTGCGGAAAAAACTGTGGGTGCCATGCGCGAATCTACGCACCCCAAAATTGGAGGTTGCCAATCTTTTAGAGGTCCCACTTAGTTCCACTGAATCCGGCAATCTTTCTACGTCTCTGTCCAAGCGTTTCGACATTTTCCAGCTGTATGGTTTTCATGGGACGAGAGGCAAGGGGAATATACCCAAAAACAAGGGGTCACGACCTTATGAGGCAAGGGTCGTGGAGACTCACAGGGTGAAAGTAAATGGCACGAGTCATGGCTCCCGACTTTCGGCGTTGATTCGGGTCTGGTGTAATTTTCTGTCACGTTAATCTGCAGTAGGTCGAATAACTTCCAATTTAACGACTCCCAACTGCGGTGGATCGGTCACCCAAAATCTTGCTGGTGCTCGTAGTTAGGGAACGACCATTCCGGAAGAGGATTCTCGAATGAAGGAAACCAACTCGTGGATGGTTTTTCTTGGTCATTCCAGTTCTCATTCCCTTGCGATCGAGCCGGCGCCATTAAACGGTCTGAGAGCTTCTCTCCCTGCCTCGAGCCGCGTATTTTTGCTCGTTTGGTTCTTCTTCTTTTTTTTTCTCGGGCCGACGAGGTGCTGAAGACCGCCGCGGTGAGCGAGATGTGCCAACAGCAGCACGCGGACTTCCAGGGAGCTTCCGCCTGCGAGCACGAGTGCAAGTCCAAGCCGCCCGTGCGAAAGAATGTGCGGTGTCACCGGTTGGGTATATATACTACTGTGGATGGACAAAATCCTGCACCACCTAAGAAACCCCGGAATGATGATTCCCCTGCAAATACAAACAAAAAATGTTTCCCATGGTTTCAAAGTGGTGCAGGATTTCGTACATCCACAGTAGGTCCCCCAGCAGTGCCCTTTTACCGTTTCCTTTTTGGGGGAGCGTGCCCCTACTAGAATAGACTGCAGAAAAAAGGGTACCCTTGTTCCAACCTCTCTACAGGCCCCAGTGTAAAATGGGGGATCGGAGCAGAAGACAGGGGCGTTTTTTTCTCCCTCTAACTTTGCTTTTTCAGCCTACCTCTGAAGATGGTGCCCTCACAAAAAGCATAGACCCTGCAGCAAACCAGAACCATCATGAAGACCTAAGGGGTCAATTACGCAGCTACCTATGGCGCCTTTCCGGAATGCACTGCTCCGGGAAAACTCACTGAGATTTCGCAAACCTACATGAATTCCACCCGAAGGAAGTAATTCAGCGGTGCGTGGGTTTCATCCAGACTAAGCACTGCAACACATGTCCACAAAGAGCTCTCACAGCGAAAGTAGATTCAAAGGGCGAATTGGGTTCTATGTGAAGGTTCAGAAGCAAGACTTGTTGCTGTCAGTTTGCGGTTGGTTAAGGCTGGAAATGAAGAACGCGGCTTGGCTTCAGCAGTCAGAAGAGGAGGAGGCAGTGGCCGAAGAGGGCGACCAGGAGGTTGTGAAGATGTCCGAGAACTGGGGATCCAGCACCACCGAGAAATGCTGCAAGTGCAAGTCCGGCAGCGTTGGCTGGTCAGCCAGCGGCCGTTGCTCGTTTTGCCATGGGTCCGTCTCCAACACAGCCAGTGTCGCTCCCGAGTGCACCAAGAAGAGTCCAAAGTTCATGGGCAACAGCATGTCGGCCAAGGCATGCGGGAGCAAGGTGGAGAGCAGCAGCTGGTCTTGGATGGAAGCAGTCAGAAGAGGAGAGGCAGTGGCCGAAGGGCGACTCAGGAGGTGGTGAAGATGTCCGAGAACTGGGGATCCAGCACCACCGAGAAATGCTGCAAGTGCAAGTCCGGCAGCGTTGGCTGGTCAGCCAGCGGCCGTTGCTCGTTTTGCCATGGGTCCGTCTCCAACACAGCCAGTGTCGCTCCCGAGTGCACCAAGAAGAGTCCAAAGTTCATGGGCAACAGCATGTGCGCCAAGGCATGCCGGAGCAAGGTGGAGAGCAGCAGCTGGTCTTGGATGCAGGAGCAGTCAGAAGAAGAGGAGGAGGCAGTGGCCGAAGAGGGCGACCAGGAGGTGGTGAAGATGTCCGAGAACTGGGGATCCAGCACCACCGAGAAATGCTGCAAGTGCAAGTCCGGCAGCGTTGGCTGGTCAGCCAGCGGCCGTTGCTCGTTTTGCCATGGGTCCGTCTCCAACACGGCCAGCGTCGCTCCCGAGTGCACCAAGAAGAGTCCAAAGTTCATGGGCAACAGCATGTGCGCCAAGGCATGCCGGAGCAAGGTGGAGAGCAGCAGCTGGTCTTGGATGCAGGAGCAGTCAGAAGAAGAGGAGGAGGCAGTGGCCGAAGAGGGCGACCAGGAGGTGGTGAAGATGTCCGAGAACTGGGGATCTAGCACCACCGAGAAATGCTGCAAGTGCAAGTCCGGCAGCGTTGGCTGGTCAGCCAGCGGCCGTTGCTCGTTTTGCCATGGGTCCGTCTCCAACACAGCCAGTGTCGCTCCCGAGTGCACCAAGAAGAGTCCAAAGTTCATGGGCAACAGCATGTGCGCCAAGGCATGCCGGAGCAAGGTGGAGAGCAGCAGCTGGTCTTGGATGCAGGAGCAGTCAGAAGAAGAGGAGGAGGCAGTGGCCGAAGAGGGCGACCAGGAGGTGGTGAAGATGTCCGAGAACTGGGGATCCAGCACCACCGAGAGGGCAACAGCATGTGCGCCAAGGCATGCCGGAGCAAGGTGGAGAGCAGCAGCTGGTCTTGGATGCAGGAGCAGTCAGAAGAAGAGGAGGAGGCAGTGGCCGAAGAGGGCGACCAGGAGGTGGTAAAGATGTCCGAGAACTGGGGATCTAGCACCACCGAGAAATGCTGCAAGTGCAAGTAGATGTCCGAGAACTGGGGATCTAGCACCACCGAGAAATGCTGCAAGTGCAAGTCCGGCAGCGTTGGCTGGTCAGCCAGCGGCCGTTGCTCGTTTTGCCATGGGTCCGTCTCCAACACAGCCAGTGTCGCTCCCGAGTGCACAAAGAAGAGTCCAAAGTTCATGGGCAACAGCATGTGCGCCAAGGCATGCCGGAGCAAGGTGGAGAGCAGCAGCTGGTCTTGGATGCAGGAGCAGTCAGAAGAAGAGGAGGAGGCAGTGGCCGAAGAGGGCGACCAGGAGGTGGTGAAGATGACCAAGAACCTTGTCTCTAATGCCACAAATGCCACGAAGTTCGTCAACACCACCGAGCAGTGCTGTAAGTGCAAGTCCGGCAGTTTCGGCTGGTCGAAAGCTGGCACTTGCAGTTTTTGCAAGGGATTTATCGCAAACTCGGGACCAGTTGATTCGGAATGCACTGCGAACAGCACCGAGTTCCTTGGCAAATCCAAGTGTGCAAAAGCATGCAAAGCCAAGCTTCAGACGGGGTGGTCGTGGCTTCAACAGCAGTCGGAAGAGGAGGAGGCAGTGGCCGAAGAGGGCGACCAGGAGGTGGTGAAGATGTCCGAGAACTGGGGATCCAGCACCACCGAGAAATGCTGCAAGTGCAAGTCCGGCAGCGTTGGCTGGTCAGCCAGCGGCCGTTGCTCGTTTTGCCATGGGTCCGTCTCCAACACAGCCAGCGTCGCTCCCGAGTGCACCAAGAAGAGTCCAAAGTTCATGGGCAACAGCATGTGCGCCAAGGCATGCCGCAGCAAGGTGGAAAGCAGCAGTTGGTCTTGGATGCAGGAGCAGTCAGAAGAAGAGGAGGAGGCAGTGGCCGAAGAGGGCGACGAGGAGGTGGTGAAGATGACCAATGCCACAAATGCCACGAAATTCGTCAACACCACCGAGCAGTGCTGTAAGTGCAAGTCCGGCAGTTTCGCTGGTCGAGCCGGCACTTGCAGTTTTTGCAAGGGATTTATCGCAACCTCCGGGACCAGTTGATTCGGAATGCACTGCGATCAGCACCGAAGTTCCTTGGCAAATCCAAAAAGCACAGCCAAGCTTCAGACGGGGTGGTCGTGGCTTCAACAGCAGTCGAAGAGGAGGAGGCAGTGGCCGAAGAGGGCGACCAGGGAGGTGGTGAAGATGTCCGAGAACTGGGGATCCAGCACCACCGAGAAATGCTGCAAGTGCAAGTCCGGCAGCGTTGGCTGGTCAGCCAGCGGCCGTTGCTCGTTTTGCCATGGGTCCGTCTCCAACACAGCCAGCGTCGCTCCCGAGTGCACCAAGAAGAGTCCAAAGTTCATGGGCAACAGCATGTGCGCCAAAGCATGCCGCAGCAAGGTGGAAAGCAGCAGTTGGTCTTGGATGCAGGAGCAGTCAGAAGAAGAGGAGGAGGCAGTGGCCGAAGAGGGCGACGAGGAGGTGGTGAAGATGACCAAGAACCTCGTCTCCAATGCCACAAATGCCACGAAATTCGTCAACACCACCGAGCAGTGCTGTAAGTGCAAGTCCGGCAGTTTCGGCTGGTCGAAAGCTGGCACTTGCAGTTTTTGCAAGGGATTTATCGCAAACTCGGGACCAGTTGATTCGGAATGCACTGCGAACAGCACCGAGTTCCTTGGCAAATCCAAGTGTGCAAAAGCATGCAAAGCCAAGCTTCAGACGGGGTGGTCGTGGCTTCAACAGCAGTCAGAAGAGGAGGAGGCAGTGGCCGAAGAGGGCGACCAGGAGGTGGTGAAGATGTCCGAGAACTGGGGATCTAGCACCACCGAGAAATGCTGCAAGTGCAAGTCCGGCAGCATTGGCTGGTCGTCCAGTGGCCGTTGCTCCTTTTGCCATGGATCCGTCTCCAAGACGGCCAGCGTGGCTGCCGAGTGCACCAAGAAGAGTCCAAAGTTCATGGGCAACAGCATGTGCGCCAAGGCATGCCGTAACCAGGTGGAGAGCAGTTGGTCTTGGCTTCAGCAGCTGTTAGCAGAAGAGGAGGAGGCAGTGGCCGAAGAGAGCGACAAGGATCGTTTGGGGGGGGTCCTTGATTCTCGCTTCAACAAACCGTCTACTACCTCAAACCACCTTCAAGTTCGACACTTGGGCCCTTTCAACTCCTGTTTTTTACGGGACTGGAAGCCCGTCTCTAGAGTTCCAAATGCACAAAGAGCCTCAAAAGGCCAATGAAGTGCAACTTGAAACACATAGTTTACACAAAGCTGGATAGTCTGAGCCGATGTTGTTGCCTGAAACGAGGAGGTTGTGAAGATGTCCGAGAACTGGGGATCCAGCACCACCGAGAAATGCTGCAAGTGCAAGTCCGGCAGCGTTGGCTGGTCGTCCAGTGGCCGTTGCTCCTTTTGCCACGGGTCCGTCTCCAAGACGTCCAGCGTTGCTGCCGAGTGCACAAAGAAGAGTCCAAAGTTCATGGGCAACAGCATGTGCGCCAAGGCATGCCGCAGCAAGGTGGGTGTGGGTCAAGATTAAACCACCAGGGGACCACACGTTTTGGTCCATGTTGCCACTTACCAGGGTTCCATTTCCGGTACCTTTGTTTGACCCACAGCCAGGTGGACAGCAGCAGTTGGTCTTGGATGCAGGAGCAGTCAGAAGATCGGAGAGGCGCTTCCCTTCATCAAGCTGATTCAGTCGGCCGCATATCGCCGCATGAGGCTTGAGTCGGAAGCTGCACGGTGATGATGTTTGCGTTTTGAATGCAATTATGATACATACACGCCTAGTCCCATTCAAAAGCGATGGATGCTCTCCCTGCAAACTAACCTGGCACCAAATTTCGGAGCAGGCGTTTTCTCTAAAAGCTTTTTTGAATGGTGTCAGGGTTGCAGGTTAGTCAGAGGGAGCATAAACGAGCGCCCGGGATTTGAGGACAAGGGGGGTCTCGAGTTTGGCAAAGATCCCGTGACCCCCACAAGTCGCCCATGCGGAGACGGAAGGCCAAGACATAAGATTTGAGCGAAATACTCTAGTCCACGAATTGAGTTCCTTCTGGCTGGGGTGAAAGATATTGGTACAATCCGCGAACTTGGCCCGCCAGTTTGACTTCTCACATGTTGGGGTCGTTGAAAAGGCCGCTGTTTGGGGTACAGTTCTGGTCAGTCATCTCATGAGGTGGTGCACCCTGACAGGGCAGCTGGCGGCAAATCCTGGCGAACCCGTAGTTGGATGCGAGTTTTTGAGAATCCAATTGATTGGCGCGTTGGTGAAACCTATAAGGTCATTGTAGAGCCATGGGTTCGTGTATGGATCACCGGGTTTGTGGCTTGTGAGACCATAATGTTTGACCCCATATAAATCAACGCCAGTTTATTAATATGGAGGTGTTCCCCGCCAAAAGTGATGCTTCCCCACTAAACCCAATGACACCCCCCGTTAATAAACTGGGGTGGATTAATATGGGCTCAACATCACCCAGCTTTTGTGTCAACTTCGAGCAAACTGGGAATTCATTCCACCGTGGGGCTTCTGTTCGGAAACATGAGGCGATTTGTGCCAAATCCCTCGCTCGGACGAGACCGGTAGAGAGAGTTGCAAAACAACTTGCTGCGCCGCGCATTTGTCGAGCCGTGTGGGGGAGCAGCCAGTGATTGGCCAACCGAAATCCACGAGTCTGACATATCTTCAAGGGGACCGCAGGTTTTTGTCCTTGTGTCCATTTACCAGGTTGGGTGCCTAATTTTGACCCACAGCCATATGTTCCCAGGCCACAGACTTATCCGCTGTGTGCCTTTGAATCCCTCCGGCTCTCCCAATGGGAAGTGGCCACGAAAAGTGAAGCCAAGTCGTCTCTTTCGACTCGGGTCGCTTGCAACTGCTTGCAGCTGCTTGCAACTGCTTGCAAGCCTTGGAATTGTAGGTCTGGACGAGTCGGTTGGCGAATCTCTTGGCTTCCAAGGTTGTCCTTTGGCCCGACTTCTTTCGCGGGCTCTGGAATCCTATTCGAGTCACTGATGATGTTAATTATTTTGGAAGACCAGAAGGGGGAGCTAAGACAAGACCACCGAATTGTGCCATTGTTGGAAACACGTACTTCTGTACGCAATGTTGTATCAAATTGACCTCTGTGGTCAATTTGCCGTTCGGGACATGGACTCTAGATTTCAGCCACACATCTTGGTTGCTCTCGACGTTTTGGACAACGACGCTTGCGCAAGAAAATCAAGCTTCCAGACTTCGAACGTTCGACCAGCCCAGGACAAGGGACAACCGACTTTGTTGAAAGGTCTTGAAGGGGCCACCTTGCTTTGACGCAACCATTTGTTGATCGCTTGGTAGGAATCGCTTGCCGCGCTTGATGTTGCAATGGGATCAAGTTGGAACCCCTGTAACTTGCATACATCGCCATGTTTTTTGTGGTTGGCGGTTGCTTTTTGGTAAATCATGAGGCCGGAATGGATTTGACGCCGAGGTCTGACAAAGAAGCAGAAGACGAAGAAGATGGAGGCAGAGCGCTGGGGGCTGTTCAATGCGCCCAAAACGGTGGCTCTTCCCACGGAACCCAGGTAGATGATCATGGCTCTGTGTCCCACTTTTGAGGGGAAGCCTTGGGCAAGCTGATTGGTGCCAACATGGCTGTGGGTCAGAACCAATGGGATTCCATTTTGGGGTTTTCGGCGCACCCATTTTAGGCTTCCTATTTTAGTGGGGATTGGGATGTTCACTGGGGGTACGGGATATTGACCCATGGCCACATCACTCTACCAAGCTTTGGGGGTGATGATACATCCTTTAGCTTTCCCTCAGGATGATCTGTGGAAGCATGGCCAGACCGCCTGCGCTCTCGCGGAATCGCCAGGCACCCCCTGAGAGGCTTGAACTTGAGCTACTTGGGGCGGAGAAAAGATGCCGACGCGAGCTGCTTTGCGAGAGATGAGCTGAAATGGGGAGGGGGCAGGTCGCAACCCTGGTCAAACCTTGCGAGATAAGCGCAAATACTGGCAAAGAATGGGGGGGGGTTGGGGGGCAACTGCTTTGATATCACAGAAAGGGGGTGACAGTTTTCCACAAGACTTTTTTGGGGTATCACCCACTTGGATCCTCAAGCAAAACAGAGGAAGTTTTCAGAGATCCAACCAAGAGTCAAGATCATCTCCATGGGGTGCTTGTTTGCAGCCTTTCAAGGCATAGCGCCAAAACAAGAAGTCTCGATTCTTCATGCTTCCAACATTCAAAGCTGCAACTGCGGTTGATGCAAGGTGATCTGGGTCTTTTTTCTCTTTTTTTGAGGACCCGCTACCCCCCCCCAACAAAAAAAACACAAGATGGCAGAGCGGTTTTCCTCCAGGCGTCCAACGGTTTTCCTCCAGGTTTCCCTTTAAGACCACAAAAAGGGGGTGTAATTACCGCAAAAAAAAGGGTCACAGACCGTCAAGGGGCGCTTCCCGTAGGCCTCGGCTCAGGGCGGATCTTCCCGCGAAGCGCAGGGCCGGCCGGGCGGGTTTCCGCGGCGCGTGCCCGAGGACGCCGCCCGCGGCTCAGAGGGTCAAACTTCCACCTTCGTGTGGCCGCGAAGTTTTATGGCCATGGACTTTTCAAAACCCACAGCGTACCCCCAGTGAACATCCCAAACCACTAAAATAGGAAGCCTAAAATGGGTGCGCCGAAAACCCCAAGATGGTACCATTGGTTTTGAACCATGGACATATCATAGACCATAGACCTAAAACCCGTTTGGACCCCCCAAAAACAAAACTCCCAAAGGTGTTTGGGGGGTGTCAGCTGGGTCCCGAGCTATTCAAAACGTTTCGTGAGAACCTCAAAACTTATATCCCGTTTGACGTTCAGCAGGATGACCTGTCTAACCACGTTTAAACCCGGATGTCACGTTGGAGACCTCAGGAGTGCTGACGATGGCACAGGGCGAAAGTCAGCCACTTTGGTAATGCCGCACAAGGGTCAGCCATTTTCAACCAGGGAAAACCAAAAGTTGAGAGCGACGACATCTTAAGGGGTGTCCACCCAAAGGGGGGGGACTTACGTATTTCAGCGCATGTCTAAACATCCACCCGTCGGTCTTGTTGGCTCAGCTTTAGCCACGACGCAAATTGCGAGTCCCTGGAGCCGACCTTGCTAACCCAGGGGTCTGTTTGAAGCGACAAAACTCCCAAGCGGCTTCACTCACTGACGAAGGTTGCCTTCTTTTGGCGCATCGTTTTACGCTTGTCAAATTTCGAAGTGCCTCAAACTGAATAGATATGCTTGCAGTTTGGGATTTTTGAATTCACAGCACGAGCGTAAAAGGGTGAGCCTAAAGAGGCAACCTTCGTCAGTGAGAGAAGCCGCCTGAGAGTTTTGCCGCTTCAAATGGAATCCTGGATGGGCAAAAGGTCAGCCCCAGGGGGATTCGCGAGATTTTCGGTGGCTCCAGCTTGCCGATTGGTTGTTTTCAAGAATTGCTTTCAACAGATCCTCTTGGCTTTCACTTTGCCAGGCCCCATGAAGCTCAAGCGCTTCCTGCTCAGATATTTCCCTCCTGGCATCGCCGCTCGGCGGTTCTCTCGCTTTTTTTTTTTTCTTCTTCTGTTCGTTCGGGGAGGGTTCGGAAAGGGGGGGGGAGAAGGGTCCCGGGAAAGCACGCAGGGGCAGACATTTTGTGTGTTGATACCGGGAAGTTGCAACTTGGGAGCTGACGGCCCCAAGCGAATCGACCAGATCAATCGACCTTTTGGGTTCCCCTTTGAAATTTCGTCGTGTCCCTCAAAAGGTGGACGGTAGAACTTATTCCTGGGTCCTTTGGGCAACTGAATATACTGCCAATCCCATCGAACCCTAAGGACGATGGGGTCACTTCGCCTGGGTTAGGAGTTCTGGGATGGTTAGGGCTTTACTTCTGGGGCTCCATCCAGATCAAGCCTTTGAGGTTTGTTTTTTGCAGACCGGGCTTCGTTTTTTTTTTTTCCCCAAGAAGGATCCCGTTGGCCGAGCTTCGAGCTGAAAAGGCGCCAGTTCCGGCAGCACTTCCAGGGTCCATACAGCCAGCAAGGGGAGAGTTCGGCGCTGCGTCGCACCTGGCTCGCGCCAGGGTCGAACCTGGAGGGCCATGGATTCCCAATGCCGGGAAGTGTTTTTTTTTTTTTTGCCAGCTTATTCAGTTCGAACAACCAGTTAGGTACGGCACAAGTTTTGGTAGCCGGTGGTACTTGTAGGTATCGTTCCTCTGGGCTGTACTAAAATTCGCTGCAAAACGTTGCGGAAGCCATTGGTACGGATAAAAAAGCCTCTCAGGTACCCTTTCGTTATTCGATTTCCACGTGGCCAAATGGCCTGACCAAATGTCAACTTCCAAGAAAGCTGTCACTTCCCCCACTTCTGACCTGAATGGAGTCAGACATGTCAGACCACGAAATGAACCCATCCCAAACTCCTTTTGGGTTTAAAGTTCGGTCCTTTCAGGGTTCTTTGAATTGGTATGTCTTTTTTGGGGGACCCTTGCATGGTCAGTTTCCCTTCTGATTTTCTTTAAAGCCAGCCAATCAGGGGGGTACCGAGCCTCAAAAATGATTGGACACACCGGAGACACCCAAACGGAGCCACACAGCAGCTGAGCAGGGTTTCCGAGCCATTTCCCTTTAAAGGGAGCCTCCATTTCGTGGCTTTCTCGTTTCAATGGCAAAACACAGCCGGAACAAACAAGCAGCAACCTTTGATTTTGAACAAAATCCGGTACCCTCTTTCCAACAATGGAAGTGGACGATCGGGGTGTCCTCCCAAAAGGAAAGTCGTCTTCCAAAACGCTCCTGTCAGCAAACCCATGATTGGTGGAGGGTAGCCTCCTGTCCACTAACATGAAACCCACCAGAGGGCCTCTTGAAAAGGAAAATCGTCTTCGAAGGACCCCTCAGCCAGATTCCACTGGATGGGAGGGCAACCGTCGTCAGCTTCCATGAAGCCGCGGATCGCCAGCCACTGGCAGGTCTTGGAGTATCAGCGGAGGAATGGTGACGTCGAGACCAAATCCATCGACCTGCTGAACCTGACGCCAGAGACGGATGTGGAGGCGACGAAAACGAAGGGCTGAATCGGCGGAGAGCGGCTGAGAGCGACTCTGGGGAAACTGTGAACTTTTGCCCCTGCGATGTTGTACACCATCACCTGGGGCCCATGTGTTGTTTTTAGTTTGTTTGTTTTTTGGGGGGGAATTCTGTTGGGATGAAGTTTGGGGAGATTCTCACCGAACCATCTTCAGAATGAATGGTCCTTGTGGGGACAGTGTCCAACAAATGTGCTTGGGGGTAGTGGGGATGGTTGGGATGGTTGGGATGGTTGGGATGGTTGGGACGGTTGGGATGGTCATGGATCCCTATGAAGCATAGACTTGGACGACCACTACCACACTTCTTATTCCTGAAGCCGTTGTTGACCGTGGCCACGTCAGGTTCTCATCAACCAGATAGTTTTTGAGGAGCCGCTGATATCTGAGAACAAGAAGGCCGGAGTCGAGTCGAGAGTCGGGGGTCGACCGAAGCATGGCAAGCGGGTTTTGGAGGGCCGAAGGGCCGTGCACTAAGGGCAGCGGCATCCTTCAATCAAGGGTGTGGCTAAAACTACGGGTAGCTCACTTGCAATTCTGGGAATCCACGATCATCTTGAAGTAGCTTTCTGTCCGCTTCTGGAATAGTGCTTGGTGCCGTTCGAGCGAGGTTGAAAGGATGCTTCTCCACAATGAAAGTGCCAGAAATTTGTCTGGGGCCATTTTTAACATATTCCAATTTTCAGCTTCACACTGTGGGTGGGGGGCACAACCCAGATACCGTGTTTTCTCGGTAACCCCCCTTGTGGTCCAATTTAAGAGGAAATCCGGGGGTGGTGCTGGGGGGTTTGACCCACGGGCTAGCTCCAGCTCATGTCCTCGCAGGACACGCTCCGAAAGATGATCTACAAGCTCATCGAGAAGATAGACAACAAGGCCTTGGCTTCAGAGAAAGGTCGAAGATATTTCCAGGCCCCGAGCTAGGTGCCGTTTCTTTTCCCGTTTCTTTTTTGGTTGGGAGGGTTCCCCTATTAAGATGGACTACAGAAAAAAAAAAGTACCCTTAGTCTAAGCTCTCTACTGGAGGACCTAGTATTACAAAGAGCTCGATGGATTCCAGCCAAATGGTGGTGTAGTTTTCCCTTCAAAAAAAGAGACACCCATATGACCAATCAGGGCCAAGCAAACACGTGTAATATGCGGCAACTAACATGGTTCCCAGCTACTTCTCCTTGCAATACTTGGTGGGCATCCACCGGTTAGGCTCCATGTTTGTGGGTTCCAAGGCGAATCTTGATCTTTGGCCCGAACAGGTGTTTTCTTGGTCTGGCAGTCATGGGCTCAAGCAATTCTGTTCCAAGATGTCCGGATCAGGAGCCAAGTGGTGTTGCCCCTCCTGAATGAACCAGTTCTGCGAAAAATGCGTCGTTAGAGAAGCCCGGTGGCACACATCTGGGGCTTGTTTTGCTCTCTTACCCGGAAAGGAAAACCCTATCTTCTCAGCTCATCGAAACCAGGTCGGTTCAGTTCTCTAGGTGTTAAACCAAGGAACAGGATTTTGATTGGCTTTGAGTGAAAGAAGTACCTTGCACCTTGTTTCTTTGGTTTCTTTCTGCATCATGAATCATGACTTTCTAGCATGCCAAAGTGACTGGGAGTCAAAAGTACTTGTTCGAGTGGCAATCAAAGAGGTGGTCTGCTTCAATCAGGAGCTTACCAGGTGCTTTAGGAAGAGTTGTCGTTGATTTCCTCCAGCTTTGAAGGAAATGACCTGGGGCCCCGAAGCTTTAGGCCTTTCACTTTGGCAGCTTGCAGGTTGTTTGCAATAGCCGCAAGGCAGACATGAGCCCTGTTGCAGTGGAGTCTTAATTCAGGTGGGCTGCTTCTGTTTTTCTGTTTGCTCCCTCTCCGGCTTCGGTCGGGAGCCCTTGGAGGATTCCCAGCGGTTCTACCTCTTCAAGATCCTCAGAGCGCACATCTTGCCTCTGACCAACTGCGCCTTCAACAAGCAGGGGGCCTGAGATCTTGAAAAGCAGAGAATCTATGGTGGGGTGGTGCAGGCCAGTTTTTTGTCGAGTCGTGTGCCCTTGAAGCTGTTCTAGTCCCAGTATTGGCGGGTGGGCAACACGGGCAGTCAACAAAACAAATTATGATATCCTCGAATCTGGTGGGGAGACAATCAAGATACACCTGGAACTGCCTGGAACCTGAAACAACCATTTGCAAATGCTACCCTTTTCCACTAAGAAGGTCTATTCATAGGAAGTTCTTCTTTGGTTTGGGAACCACCATTCGTAAATTGTCGCAGGTTCCAGGCATGTACTCATTTCTTGGAAGCGAGCCCACCCTCCACCCTTCAGCTTTCCATGTTCAGTCAAAGATAGTCAAAGCATCAGAAGCCGAACGGTCTCCAGAGGATCTCTGCACTAGGTGGCTCCCAGCCATCCCCTTAGCCTTTTAGCTTTCTAGTGTTTAGTGGCGGTTTCCATTTAAGCCACGAAAAGTTAGTCACTTTTAGAGGGGTATCTGAGGGCACAGTGGAGATTCTGATGTTCACCAAAGGGCCAGACCTTCAGCGAGAATCCTTCAAGACCGATATGCGCAGATTGGTGGAAACCTGTCAGCACTCGAGAAGGTTCAGGGGTGAACAGATCGGAGGCAGCTTCCTTGGTCAAAGGTGGAATTGTCCACAACCCCGACAACAAACAGTCACCCCTTCTTGGAACGCCACGTTCGTGGTACTTGGCCTATGACCGACTCGTTTGACAGTGGTGGGGATATGCTGGTTGTATATTTTCATTTGCTGAAGGCAACTTGATGTTTGTTCTCTCCCGAGCAGGGGTCCAAATGTATTTGCCCTTCCGGGTTCAACCCGTTCAACAAATAGTGGTGTAAGCCTGGAGTCTCCGTGACCCTTCAGACATGGGTTCATGACCCTGTAATTTGGAGTATACGCGTCACGAATCCCCAAGTAAGTGGTTTCAACATGCTATGAATCCTCATAGCACACCTCAACAGTTTGGTTTTTTATCCCTGCCATCTCAAGTTTTCCATTTGCTTAAGAATATTTCATATTTTCCCTGGCTGGTTTAAAAGGGAACCTATCACTACTGGACATATATATGTTTATGTTTTCCAGGGAGCTTAAGCAAATGGAAGAAGTTCATTCTTGGATCCCTGCCTCAGATTGTCCTTTTGGGCTTGGCAGTGTCTGACCTCGTGACCCGGCTGAGGTCCGGATCACGGTTCATCACCGGCTCGTACGACCGGACCTGCCGGGTCTGGGATACACTGGCCCGGGCCTCGCAAAGGTCTGCACCCGCCCAAGTTAGGTGGTGGCCCGTGATTTCACGACTTGGTTGCCATCTAGGTCTTCCAGTAGTGCCCTTTTACCGACTTTTTTGGGGGGTTCCCCTACTAAGACAGACTACAGAAAAACGGGTACCCTTGTTCTAACCTCTCTAATGGAGGACCTAGGCCACGGTGGGAGCGCTGCTGAAGGAAAGTCGTCTCTTTGCTCACGACATGGGGATTTGGGTAGCTGCAGTTCTAGATTTCTTGCGACGCGGTTGGGCTTTGAAGCGTCGGTGAATGCGATTCCGTGCTGGGTTGTCTTGGCGGGTGCGTGGTGTGCGGTCGGTGTTGCAGGGAGGGTGCGATTATCATGTGGCTGCAGGTGTACGGGCCAGAATGCACTTGTCGGGTTTGTTGTTTCGATTTTTGTGTGTGTGTGTGTGTGTTTGTTTGTTTGTTTGTTTGTTTGTTTGTTTGTTTGTGTTTGTTTGTGTTTGTTTGTGTGTGTGTGTGTGTGTGTGTGTGTGTGTGTGTGTGTGTGTGTGTTTTTGTTTGTGTGTGTGTGTGTGTGTGTGTGTGTGTGTGTGTGTGTGTGTGTGTGTGTGTGTGTGTGTGTGTGTGTGTGTGTGTGTGTGTGTGTGTGTGTGTGTGTGTGTGTGTGTGTGTGTGTGTGTGTGTGTGTGTGTGTGTGTGTGTTTGTGTGTGTGTGTGTGTTTGTTTGTGTGTGTGTGTGTGTTTGTGTGTGTGTGTGTTTGTGTGTGTGTGTGTGTTTGTGTGTGTGTTTGTGTGTGTGTGTGTGTGAGTGTGTGTGTGTGTGTGTTTGTGTGTGTGTGTGTGTTTGTGTGTGTGTGTGTGTGTGTGTGTGTGTGTGTGTGTGTGTGTGTGTGTGTGTGTGTGTGTGTGTGTGTGTGTGTGTGTGTGTGTGTGTGTTTGTGTGTGTTTGTGTGTGTTTGTGTGTGTGTGTGTGTGTGTTTGTGTGTGTTTGTGTGTGTGTGTGTGTGTGTGTGTGTGTGTGTGTGTGTGTGTGTGTGTGTGTGTGTGTGTGTGTGTGTGTGTGTGTGTGTGTGTGTGTGTTTGTGTGTGTGTTTGTGTGTGTGTGTGTGTTTGTGTGTGTGTGTGCGGAGGACAAGAACGTGACTGAGCGGCTCGACCATCTCTGCAGCAGGCGTGTGGCACTCTCATCCTACCACACGCAATGAAGCTGTGGGTGAGAGTGGGAAGCAAGGCCTGATCAGCCTTGTGTACCTGCACCTTTTGAGTGATTCTGAAAGTCCTTTTGGCCCTCTTCTTTGCCGCTGTGTGTGCTTCATGTTGAACCTTGTAACGGTTTCGTCTCTAGAGGGATATCACGTGACCGCAAGCCGAACTTTCTTTTACTCGAGACTCATCGGTTGTACTCGAGACTCATCAGTTGTACTCGAAACTCATCAGTTGTACTCGAAAGATTAGCACTCTCCATCTGGAGTTCAAGTGTGTACACCCCATTCGTGGGGAATCCTCGGGTGTACCCATTGTGTGACCCCGGGCCGGCTCTGTCGGAAAATTTGACCTCAACGTGCGTATCATAGACAGCGGTATTTCACATTTAACCAGGAACGAGGTTTCACTAAAGGGAAGAAAGCCGTCAGTTCATAGCGACGTCTCACCACAGTTGATAGCTGCCGATTTTCATTGCCTACCCTGACCATTGGTTGAACTTGTTGCTCGTTTCACTGCGGTTGTCGATTGTTGACTTGTATTTGCTTTGCCTTGTACATTTCGCTTGACCATTGCAGTTGAGGACCGCTAACTTGCATTTGCATGGATTTGAATATTGTCGGGTCTGATTCTCTCAAGGTGGAAGTGTGCAAATTCCGATTTAGTTGCGTCACCATGTCTCGACGTGATGATCGTGATAGATCCAGGACTCGACGCAGACGTGATCGGAGTCCGTCCCCTCAAGCTCACAAAGCACGCCGACGTGAGCATAATGACAACCAGGTCTCGGAGAACACGGATTGGAACAACTTGGTTTCATGGCAACACAACTCCGGCTACAATGCTGCTAACAACTTTCCGATGGTGCCTACCAATTTTCAATCGACTCACAACCCCACACAGCAATTCCAATACCCGGCGATCAACTACATGATGCCGATCCCTCCTGATCCCACACCATCCAAGTTCATGCCACCAATGATGCCGCCACCGGTCACTACGTCCCAACCTACACCTTTGCCTGGACCTCCTGCAGCTCTACCGGTTCGTCCTCAGAAAGCCTGGCTTTCTCCCTCGCCCGACTGGACACCTGCAGACGGCATGTTTGATGTCAACCAACTCTACAACTTCAGCCTGCCCATGACTGTTGCCAACACTCCACATGGCAACCTTCGCGACATGTCAGGCATGGATATTAGGGACGTACGCCTGGTTCAGGTTATCCACGGGGCCTCACCAACTGGCTACTCAGGCCGTTTGCACACGGCCGATTCGTGACGTGGGAAGGCTTTCGCACCCGCACTGAGGCCTTACTTTGGAGTACCTGCTCCAAATTACTACGAAGATCGCAGTCACTCAACCTGCTCACCCTGGAAAAGGACCTTGCCAACTCGCTGGGTCTCAACATTGATGACTTCAATCAGCGCATCAAGGTCCACGACCATTTGGCCAACCTGGTACTTCAATTTCTTCAACAACATCACACCTCTCTCGCACCTGCCGCCCAGACCGATGACATGGTCAAGAAGTTCAATGATTTGAATCGTGCACATGAACTTCTCCAAGCTCAGTATTCCGCATCACTTCGCGCATCGACCTCGCCCACGATGACAAACCAGAAAGATGATGCAGAGTTGGTTACACCGCCACCGGTCAACCACACACCATCCTCGTCACCGGCCAGCTCCCTTCCCACAGCCAGCGCGGCCGCCCTGGATGGCAAGTCGTTTGATAGCGTGGTGCAACCTCGGATCATGCAGTCTCTTCACGGAGTGTCGTCACCGCCGCCCAAACCGGCGGCGTCACAGTTGCTCACCATGCACAGCACGCCGGATGAAGTTGTCAAGTACTACACATGGACCAGTGACCAACCTCGCCTTTTCCTCAAGCAAGCACCCACGACAACCACTTTGGCGTCGCTGGTTAAGTGGGCCAATCACCCGTCCCGGCTCAACGGCAACAAGTCGTTAGATTCTATGGCGACGCAGCTTCTTCAGGCCAGGCAACGCATGCCGAAGGGCGATGCGCCCACACTCGGTGCAATGGCAGCATTATGGGGTCTTGAACCCGGGTACCTTACCAAACTCACTGAGAAGGCATTGAGTCACCTCATCGTGACCGCTCGCCTGCTTTGTGGATGAGAAGGCATCATATCGACCTTCGTTCTCATATGAGCCCGGAGCGGCAACAATGTCACGGATGAGTCCAGGTGAAAACTCGTCCGTCAAGTGTTTGCGTTGGACATGATTGATCTTGTACTTGCTTGTTCTTGCATTGCCTCTTGTGTGATTGTCTGTGATGCTTGTATCCATGTCGCCGCCTTGTGGTAGATTTCGTTGGTTGCATCTCACCATGTTGGATGAACTTCGCCACTGCGGAATCTATGATGATGTTGCACAATGGCAGTCGCTGGACGACCTTCTGCACTCTTTGACTACATTCTCGACGTGCTGGCATTACTGTTTCCCTGGACTACCACCACCGTCGATTCCAATTGAGGAGTACGAATCCATCACACAATTGCCGTGGCTGGGTCTCATCCTCGAGGTCTTAGTTGTGGTCCGGATAGCCCTCCAGATTCCGAATTGCGCTCCAACTCTCAGCACACAGTGGCCAACAGGTACGAACTTCACAGATGTCGGTGCGCTGCCTATTTATTGATCAGTTTCTTACAACGGCTCATTTCACAGGATCACGGCTACTTCCCGCCGTTCTTCGAAGTCCTTCACTTCTACAAGACTTCTCTCTTGTGTGAAATCATGCACTCAACTTTCGCTGACACGCGACATCTACGCTCATTGCGGGCGCGATTTCCTGACCTCTACGACTTCATACATGATCCAGGTCATCACCAACAACCGTGCGTCTACATTCGACTTTCCCCATGGCACACACCATACTATGTTGGGGCGACTGATCAGGATGTTCTACGTCGTGAGCACTCACGCAGTCGCAAATTTCTACAACTACTTCGTGGACGGCATGCCTTCTTTGAACCGGCGCTTCACTACTGGAAACGATCCAATACTTACTGGCTCTTCTGTGCTGTACCAGTGGAAATCAAACTTCCAGTTTCCTCGGTATGGGTTCAAGAAAGTAAATGGCAATACCTGCTACGCCCGCATCTGAATGCGCCCTGGGTACACAGAATCTTGCGCAAGGTGGGCTTCCGGGAACATCTTGTAGATTTTCGACGCCACTCGTTGTCGTCGCCCACTTCCCTCGGCTTGCACAAGCGCTTTCGACGACGACTACATCCGGATCTCCAACGGCAACTACGACCTGACACCCTGGACGACATTCAAGCCCACTACTCGATCCTCTATCAGCTGGGATCCAATACAGGAGCGTCGTTCCAAGTCATGCGTGACCTACTGTCAGCCGCTTTCCCTCCCACTCAGCTGTACTACTTATTGCGGCTCGCAGTATTTGTCAACGAGCCCTTCCGCTCCAAGGCCCAGAAGCTCCTCGCCCAGGTACTGCGCCAACGACGGCTACAACCACCCACCACTTTAACACAGCTGTTTTTGCCGCCGCTGCATGTCCAGAATTGGAAAGCTCTACTGGGCACATGGTTACAAAGCTGGATTGCTTCTCATCGGGATCTGTTCCCTTCTCTTTTCATTCCAAAGATCCGGGTTGTGGAAACTCGCAGCGCCACATTGGGCGACAGGATATACAACTATCGCACATGGCAGCGCAAATGGGCGCCTGACACATCTTTTCCGTGTCGCTGTTTGGACATCGATGATAGCCATCTACACCGTGCACATGGTCACGCAGTAATGGTGGATGAGTTTTCT